CGTTCCAAATTGTGGAGGGTATTCAAAGTTCGGCCCGGCCGAACATACTGCTTACTTTACTATAGAGCAAGTTTTTTTTTCTGTAGTACTAGAGGTAAAAAAGCCTCAGTCAAATTAGATGAAAATCGATTAAGAGTTGTGTCTACTCTAAAACCATTCGCATTTAAATCAGGTTCATATGTGGTATAATTTGCTTGACACAAAACTTTCCGTTATAAACTTTTTTGTTGCGGGATCTCTACCAAATACTCATAATGGTGTAGGGTATCGTGTAGTCGGCCTCGTCCGACTTTTGACCTTTTTCTCACTAATTAGTATTAAAATGCACAATTGGTTCAGATGATATCAAAATTTTAAAAATCGTACTAAATCTTCAGGTTGTTAAGGTTTTATTTATTACTGAAGATTTTCCTTTTTCGGAAGGAATAATAGGTAAATTTTTACATTTTACACCAAAAAGTCTTCAAAATTTTTCATTTTTATGTTTACCGAGGAGGATATTAGTGAAAGCTTTGTACAATGAACCCACATTAAATTTTTCTCTCCAATACTATTTCAACGTCTCTATATGTAAACCTAGAAAGTGAATTTAAGAATTTCAACGCTGTCCCTTCCTTAAACGGCAAATTTTGTGGCATTTTGCACTCTTGGAGCGTTCAGATCCTAACCACAGGCACTAACATCTACATATATTAAATTTCTGGGTTTAAGCTCTATCCATTCACTCAATATCAAATTTGATAACATTTAGTGCTTTTCTTATAATTTTAGTACACATTTCCAAAACCACTTCCAAATACCAAACATATAGTTATATAACAAATTTTGAAATTCCTCCAATATCCCTTAATCCAATACCCAAATTAGTTTTATTGTTAGTAACTATCGTACAATTACAGATTTTAAAATCAAATTTGAGTATGCTGGATTTTGTTCCTCCACCCAATATAAAATTTAGTACCATTTAGTACTTTTCGAGCAAATATAGGACTCATTTCCAAAACACCGCAAATCTCTATTTTATATACCTACAGAGACATCAATATCAAATTCGAGGATTCCAGCCCTGTCCCTTCACCCGGTACTAAATTTTGTATCACATAGTACTTTTCGAACAATTATACTACATATTTCCAAAACCAACACCATCTCTAAACTTCAGATACCAACAAAACTTTAATATCAAATTTAAAGACTCCAGCCCTTTCCCTTCACCCAATACTCAAATGCTTTTCAAACAATTATACTACACATTTAGAAAACCACCCCTCAAATATTAAATTTAAGGATTCTAGTAATATTCCTTCACCCAATACCAAATTTAGTATCATTTAGTACTTTTTGTAAAAATATAGAAAGTATTTTCCAAGTCACAGCCAAATCTCAAACACAGATACCATTAGATAATTAAATATCAAATTTCAGAATTTGATCTCTATCCCTTCACCCACTGACAAATGTAGTACGATTTAATACCTTTCGTACCAACAAAGGACGCATTTCCAAAGCCACATCCAAATCTCAGTCCCAAATACAAACAGTGAGCTCTTTATCTAATAGCCAATCTAGTACCATTAACTACTTTTCAAACAATTTTACTACACATTTCCAAAACCACCTCCACATCCTAGCTACAGACACCAACAGAGACCTCAATATTAAAATACTAAATTTAGTACCTGGCACTTTTCGTACAAATATAGGACACATTTCCTAGTCACGGCCACATCTCAAACACAAATACCATCAGATATTTAAATATCAGATTTCAGAATTTTGTCTCTATCCCTTCATCCTATACCCAATATAGTACTTTTCGTACAATTTTAATAATTTTAGATTTCAAGCACAAGCACCAATACCAAATTTGTAACAACTATAGTATTAATTAGTACACGTAAGTTCGAATTTCCAAAAATTCATACCCAACCCTATTCTATATTAAAACGGTAATCTAATTCAAAATTTATGGTTACATTCCTATCGGTTCATAGAAATTAAGTAACATTTGGTACATATCCCAATCCAATTCAAGAATAATCCTTATTTCAAATTTTAGGATTTCAGCCCCAACTGTTCACACAAATCCAAATTAGAACCAAATTTAGCAGACATAAGTACGAATTTCCATAACTTCCTACGTCTTACAACTCTACACTCTAAATTTCCAAAACTACCTCCAAATTTCATTAATACAAACCCATAGAAATGTTACTGCCAAATTTTAGATCGTTTCGCCACAATTTCAATTTGTACACAAGTTAGTACAAATAAGTACAAATTTCCATAACAACCCGCGTCGTACAATCCAAGAGAAATCTTATTTTCCAATTTCAATATTCTAGCCGCATCGGTTCGCCCAAATTCGAATTGTACCAATACTTCACTCCCGCAGAAATCCCCATTCCAAATTGCAGAAATTCCTAAATATTAGGATTTCATCTTTACCGGTTCTCCCAAAATTTAAATTGTAGCAAATTTAGTACCATTTAGTACACATAAGTACGAATTTCCAAAACTTCCTACATACCACAACCCTACAATGCAATAGATATGTTAATGCCAAATTTCAGGAATTCAACTCTACCGGTTCTCAAAAAATTTAAATTGTATCAAATTTAGTACCGTTTAGTAGACAAAGTACGAAATTCCAAAATTTCCTACATTTCTCATTCCTTGAATTCAATAGTAATCATATTTGTAAATTTCAGAATTCCAGCTTCATCGGTTCACCCAAATAGTAGTTGTACCAAATTTAGTACAATTTAGTACTTTTCGTGCACATAAGCACAAATTCCAAAAACTACCTCCATATTCTAATCCTACACTCAGGCAGTTATCTTAATTGCAAATTTCAAGATTCCACCTCAATCGATTAATACAAGAATTGAATTGCACCATATTTAATACCATTAAGTACAAATAAGTACGAATTTCAAAAATTTTCCTACTAATTCCAATCCTACGATGGCATAGTAATCTTATTTCCAAATACCAGTACTCAGTTCACCCAAATCGAAATTTTACCAAATTTAGAACAATTTGGAAAACTACCCCCATATCCTTACTCTTACTCTCCGCCGGTAATATTAATTTCAAATTTAAGAATTCCAGCTCCATCCTAGACTCTATACTGCCAAAAACTACATTATTACATCGACCCTTCTTGATTTCCATTCCAAATTTCAAGAAGTTTATGATACGAAAATGGTTCTTAAAAATACAAAATGGTACATGTTGTAGTACATTTCAGTTCGTTTCGTACACTTATAGTTCGAACTTCCGAAAAACCTTTAGTACGTCCATCATGCACTCCATCAGTGACCCTCATTCGAAATTTAACCGTTTCTTTCCAAAAACCCAGTCTTAACTGACACCTTTGGACCAAGAGAGACCTTCATCCATTTTAAGATTATAGCTTCAACGGTTTCGTCTAGCTTCGGCCTTCTCATGCTTTTTTATACCCTGCATCACATAGTGGTAAGGGTATTATGTCTTTGTGCATTTGTTTGTAACATGGAAAAGGAAATGCGATAGACCCATAGTTCCTTTTGGTGATCAGCATAGAATCACATTTTGAGTCGATGTATGCATGTCCGTCCGTTTGTCTGTCCGTCCGTCTGTCCACGTATTTTTGTAAACAAAATGGAGGTCACATATATTGTTTGATTTAGATGAAATGTTCTAAATAACATTTGTTTGACTCAAGGACGAACCCTATTGAAATTAGTGAAAATCGGTCCAAACTTAGATACAGCCCCTATATATATCTTTATCCGGTTTTAGGTTTCTTGTGCACAAAATGGCCAATATAAGTCCAAATGGTGTGAATTTTGCTACATCCGTCCGAATTCAGCCTAGAAGCATGTAGGCTGGTGAAAATCGGTTCAGATATAGCTATAGCTCCCATATATATGTTTCATCCGATTTGGTGTTTAAGTACCTCATATTCGTAATATGCACTCCACAAGACTGATATTTAGCACCAGATATCAGATAAAGCCTATCAATTCATGATTCAAATGTTATCAAGATTGGTTCAGATTTGGATATAGCTCCCATATATATCTTCATCCGATTTTAGGTTTCTGGTGCACCAAATGACTAATATCAGTCCAAATGGTGTGAATTTTGACACTTCAGATCAAATTTAGTGTAGAAATAAGTACTTTAAATTTGGTGCAAATCGCCTCAGATATAGCTATGGCTCCCATACATATGATTCATCCGATTTGGTGTTTAAGTCCCTTTAAATTCCTAAAATGCACGATACAAGAATTATATTTGGTACCAGATATCAGATGCAGCCAAGAAATAGCTGTTTCCAATTTTATGAATATCGGCTCTGATTTGGATATAGCTCCGATTTTAGGTTTATTGTGCAACAATTAGGTAATATTAGCCCAAATAGAGTGAAATTTCGCAATTCAACCGAGTTTAGCATAGAAGCAATAATTTCAAATTTGCTCCCATATATATATTTCATTCGATTTGGTTTTTAATTCTCCAACTTTCGGAATGTGCACTCAACCATAATGATATTTTGTACCAGATATGTCATAGAGCTCAGAAATTGCAATATAACCCTTTCTATTACGAGAGCTCTACTAAATATACATAGTGGTGTAGGACATCATATATTCAGCCCTGCCCGAATTTTGGATTTTCCTTGCTGGTTTTTAAATAATTATTTTGTAACTACGTAATGAAAACCCCGAAATGTAGGTTTAACATGCCTCAAGATTCTGCCATGAGCACATGGAAAATGCAACGTAAAGCTCTTCTTGTGTGAAATACTTTTTTATATGCTCTCCACATTGATTAAAAAAATAAAAATTTTATCCCAAAAAAGATCATATTTCGACCGTTTATCTTAATGTTTTTAAAACTGGCCCCAAAGACTTATAAAAATTGCTACTTATAATAAAAATTAAAAGTTTTTAATTTTCTTGTTAAATTTCTTACCAATAAACTCATATCATGCACTTCTTTCATTGCAGCGTTCCCAATCAAACGAAAGCCAATTGGTATTGGAGACGGTAAATGCCATCACCACCGGCAAATACAGTTGTGAAGTTTCAGCCGATGCTCCATCTTTTCATACACTGATTGCAGCTGCAGAAATGGAGGTAGTTGGTAAGTTGCACACAGGCATATACACTCGTACACAAAAATGAAAATTGGAAAAATTTTCAACTACACCCGCATAGAATTTTAATAAAGTGTCTCCGAAACTAATATCTTTTGAACCACAAATACCAAACAGAGAATCTTTTGTTTGTTTTGTTCGTGGAGGGGTCACAAAAAGATTTCCTCTGTCACAGATAAAACTCCGGCTAAAGATTAACTGAACCCCAAACTAAAAACTAAAATCTGATGCACTCACACACACACACACACACACACCAAAGGCATAAAGAGTTTTCAGCAACAACTAAACAAAAAATATATCCACACAAAAAGAGCAGAGTTGAGTATGAAAGAAGAAAATAGTTAAGTCGAAACGACAAAAGCTAAATAACGAACAACAGAAAGCCATTAAAAAATACCATGTCATATGCTTTCGGAAGAACCATTTATTTTTGTTTTCCAAAGGAGAATATATGGTCTAACTCGCAAATGCGACACACACAAAACATTGCTGGCTAGAACTTTGTTGTATGAGCAACAGGAACATGGACCAGGAGAGCAGATAACAAATTTGAAATTATCTTCAAAAAATATGGGTTGTACAACGTGCAATGGAAGATTTTTGCAGCTCGCAAAGATATTGTTTAGATTCAATTAGAAAGAGTATGGCAGAAGATCGAATCGGGTCATTTAGTTAGAATAGAATAAGGGCTATTTTTTAAGTATTTCGCTGCTATTGATTTTTCTTAAGGCAAGGTTCGTTGTGAGTTGAGTGAGGATTTGGAATAGAATTCAATGCTTTAACAAGACATTCCGACAGCGTAATTATAAGTACTTTGTGATATATAAGTAGTAGACAAATTTTAAATCACATAAGGTGCTTATACCCTACACAACATAGTAGTAAAGGTATTATGTCTTTGTGCATTTGTTTGTAACATGGAGGACGCGAGATAGACCCATAGTTATTTTTGAGGATCTTCATAGAATCGCTTTTTATGACGATTTATGCATATCAGTCCGTCCGTCCATCTGTCCATGTATTCTTGTGAACAAAACGCAGGTCGCAGTTATTATCCGATTGAGATGAAATTTTCCAAACAATATTTGGCCCAAGGACAAACCGTATTGAGATTGGTGATAATCGGATCAGATTTGGATATAGCTTCAATATATACCTTTAACCGATTTCGGGTTGATTGTGCACTAAGAGACCAATATCTGTCCAACCGACCTGAATTTCGGCACATCCGACCGAATCCAGTCTAGAAGCACATTTGGTGAAAATTGGTTCAGATATAGCTATAGCTACAATATAAATTCTATCCGATTTTGCTTTTAAGTCCCTCACATTCGTAATGTGCATTCGAGTGCAATGAATTTAAGTACCAGATATCAAATACAACCCCAAAATACCTCTGCCAAATTTTATCTAAATCGGATCAGATTTGGATATAGCTCCCATATATATTTTTAACCGATTTAGGGTTAATTGGGCACTAAATGGCCAATATCAGACAAACTGACCAGAATTTTGGCACATCCGACCGAATTCAGTCTAGGCGCAAGTACATCACATTTAGGAAAATTGTTTCAGATATAGACATAGCTACCATATGTATATCATCTGATTTTTTTAAGTCCCCCACATTCGCAATATGCATTCGACAACAATGATATTTGGTTCCAGATATCTTATAGAACTTGGAAATAACTTTTTCCAAATGTTGTCAAAATCGGCTAAGATTTGAATATAGCTCCCATATATATCCTTAATCCATTTTCTGCTTTATTGTTCAAATAATGACTAATATCAGGCTAAATGGAGAGAATTTCGGGACGTGCGTTTTCATTTTGTGGAACTCGGCTCCGACATATATTTTTTGATAAAATCTTTCTCGAACTGATATCATGCACTCTATTGCAATCTTATTTGTTATTAAAGATTAAAATGTCTCCGTCAAATTTAGTGAAAATCGATTACCATATATTAGTTCCCTCTGAAACCGAACTATAACTGCTCTAAAGGCAAATTTAGTAACAGATAGAGCTGGAGTCTGGATATGGATATGGAGGTAGTTTTCGAAATATGTACTTATGTGCACAAAAAGTACTAAATGGTACTAAAATTTGTATAATTTCAATTTGGGTGTACCGATAGAGTTTAAATCCTGGAATTTTGAAATAAGATGACCCCTGTACTGTAGGACTGAGATATCTACGTAGTCTTGGAAATTCGTACTTATAAGTACTAAATAGTAAAAAATATGGTACAATTTTGGGAGTACCACTAAACTATAATAAATTTAATACAATTTAGATTTAGGTGAACCGATAGAGCTGGAATCCTGAAATTTGAAAATAAATTTATTATTGGAGTGTAGGATTGCTGTATATAGGAAGTTTTGGAAATTCGTACTTATGTGCACTACGTGGTACTAAATTCGCTACAATTTGGATTTGGATAAACCGATAGAGCTGGTACTCTAGAGTTTCAAAATAACATTAGTGGCAGAGAGTAGAATTGGGATATGGCGGTTTTTTTTCGAAATTTGTACTTATGTGCACACAAATAACTAAATGACACTAAAACGGTACAATTTCGATCCGGGCGAACCGATAGGGTTTGAATTCTGAAATTTGGAAATGAGATTACTTTTACATTGTAGGATCGGGATATGTAGGATGTTTTGGCAATTCGACTTATATGTACTAAGTGCTACTAAATTTGGTATAATCTTGCGAGAGCCGGTGAAGTTGAAATCTTTAAATTTGGAATTAAGATTACTGTCGGAGGATTGGAATGTGGAGGTTGTTTTCCCATTTTGTATTTAAGTGCAGGAAAAGAACTAAATGGTACTAAATGTTGGTATAATTTCGATTCTGGTACTAAATTTGGTACAATTTGCATTTAGGTGAACCAACAGAACTGGTATCAGGAAATTTGGAAGTACGATTAATATCGGGGTGTACGATTGGGGCATGGGGGTAGTTTTGGAAATTTATTGCTATGTGTATTAAAATGTACTAAATTTTGTACCATTTCGTATCATGTGAGGGGTTGGAGCTAAAAACTTGAAATTTGAAATGGGAATCGAGGCTGAGGTATAGGGTCGATATAAGTAGGTAGTTTTTAGAAGTATTTAGTCATGCATACGAAATGTACTAAACGGTTCTAAATATTTTTACAATTTGAATCTAGTGGTACAAATGGAGCTGGGATCCCAAAATTAATATTACTGGCGGAGTGTATGGAGGTAGTTTTGGAAATTTATACTTATGAAAATTACTCAAAGCTAATAAATTTGGATCAATTTCGATTTGGGTATAACGACCTTTGGTATAAAGACCTATAACTAATTCATCAACACTCTAGCGATACGGCTGATCGCGATCATGTTTAAATAGAGTTTGTAATCATATTTTGCAAACAAACAAAAACAAACATACCACATTGCTGACGCTTGTAAAGTTGCGAATTCCTCGCTTCATTTCCAAAGCACAATGGCCATCAGATTCTCCGGATACCAAACCGTTTGGGAAGCAAGGTTGACACTAAAAAATACCAAAGTGTCGATCGCCACTTTCATTCAATAAAATTTAAAAAAAATTAAAGTTTTGGCGTTTGACTTTGTTCCATTTTTTTATCTCACCCTGTATTTATGTCTTTGTACATTTGTTTGCAAAAAGCAAAAGGAAACGAGATAGACCCATAGTTCCTTTGTCCGTCCGTCTGTCCGTCTGTCCATGTATTTTTGGAAACAAATTACAGTTCACATTTTTTTGCCCTATCCAGATGAAATTTTGCACAAATCATTTGTTTGGCCCAAGGACGAACCCTATTTAAATTGGTCAAAATTTAGATATTATTATATGTTGAATTAGGTCAATATATATGCGGAGGACAAAAGTAACAAATCGAATGAACAATATATATGGGAGCTGATTCATCAAATCGATTTCGATCAAATTTGGCATACTTATTTTGAGGCCTAATTTGGTTGTATGTGCAAATATTACACGTTTGGTGCATATATATATATATATATATATATATATATATATATATATATATATATATATATATATATATATATATATATATATATATATATATATATATATATATATATATATATATATATATATATATATGCACCAAACGTGTAATATAAGTCCGAATAGTATGGAATTTTCCACATACCTTTGCTAAATTTCGTCCGATTTACCTTTTATTGTGCACCAAACGTGTAATATTTCCCCAAATGGGATGAAATTTGGCACTTACGACCGAATTGAGTCTAGAAGCTAGTATGTCAAATTTGGTGAAGATCGGTTCAGATATAGGTCCCATATATATTGATCATCCGATTTGTTACATTTGTTACCCACAGCAGTAATATGCACTCCGTAATAACGGTATTCAGGGAAATATATGAAATTCAGCTCAGAAATATCTTTGCCAAATTTTATCAAGATCAGTTCAGATTTGGATATAGCTCCCATATATATCAAATTGGCAATACAAGTCCGAATTTAAAAGATACAAGTGCTTCGGCATATTTAGTCTTTTGAACATTAAATTATAATTACAATCATAGCGTGTGTGATTGAATTCTCTCATAAAAACTTTAAATTGTTATGTGGAGCTCTACTAAATTAGCAAAGTGGTGTAGGGTGTCATAAAGTCGGCCCCGCCCGACTTTAAGTCTTTCTTTACTGTTTCAGTTTGACTTATAATATTGAAGTATACATTTTGAAATATTTTTCACATTACAACACAGGTTGGAGTTATTATATACAGATTGCAATCATCGTCCGATCCTTCAGAAAATTTTTGCAAGGGTCAGGCTCAGAAGGGCTATACCTATTGTTTACAAAGATGTCCGTTTTATATTTATGGTTGAAATGGACCAACAACAAGCCGTTTTAAAGATCACAACTAGAAACCAAAGGACACGAACTATTGCATGATGTTAGGGTTTAGGACAGCGTGTAGAGTGGAC